AGCCGAGCCGGGCCGCTCCCCTCCCGGAGCCCGCTTGCCTGGGCCCTGCCGGTTGGGATTCGGGAGGGTTTGCAGGACCCTGTCCAAGAGGTGTGTGCGGAAGATGCTGAAGGATTAACAATTAAAATCGTTTAAGCTGCAAGACGAGAATGATACGTGCAAATAGATATAGCCTGGCCATGTCTTTCTGGGGATATAGCATCATGTTGTGGTTAAGGATTGGAAATGTGACTTCTGGAGATTTTGTAGTCCAAACCCCTGCCAAAGCAGATTCACCTAGAGCAGGTTGTGCACGGTTGCATCTAGACGGGTTTTGAGTATCTCTAGAGAAGGACATTCCACAGCCTTTCTGGTCAGCCTGTTCCAGTGCTCTGTCACCATCATAGTTTTTCCTTATGTTCAGACAGAACTTCCTGTGTTGGAGTTTGTGCCTATTGTCCCTCGTCCTGTTGCTGGGCACCACTGAAAAGAGTCTTGCCCCATCATCTTATTGGCTACCCTTTAGATATGTTTAAGCATTGATAAGATCTCTCAGTCTTCTCCAGGCTGAATAGGTCTCTCAGCCTTCACTCGTAAGAGAGATGCTCTAGTCCCCATATCGTTCTCATAACCCTCTACTGGACTCTCTCCAGTAGTTTCTAGCCTTTCTTGAACTGGGAAGTCCAGAACTGGACACAGCACTCAAGATGTGGCCTTACCATGGCAGATAAAAGTGGATAACTTCCCTCAGGCTGCTGGCCACACTCTTCTTAATGCACCCGAGGATACTCTTGGCCTTCTTGGTCACAGGGGCACATGGTTATCTTGTTTGTCCACCAGGACTCCCAGGTCCTTCTCTGAAGAACAGCTTTCCCACAGGTCAGTCTCTAACCTGTTCTGGTGCACAGAGTTATTACTCCCTAGGTGCAGGATCCAAAGGTGCACTTGCCTTTGTTAAACTTCATGAAGTTCCTCTCTGCCCAACTCTCCAACCTGTCCAGGTCTTAATGAATGGCAACACAGCCTTTTGGTTTATCAGCCAGTCCTCTCAGTTTTGCATCATCAGTACACTTGCTGAAGGTACACTCTGTCCCTTCATCCAGGTCACTGATGAATGTGCTACAAATACTGAATATAATAGTATGTGGGGTTTTTTAAAACTGTATTAGTAGCCAGGAAGATTTATTTTTTTTTTCTGTAAGTGGAGTCAGTAGAAATGGGATTTCCATTTTGAGTATGAGGAGTGGATGTTACTGGTGTTACATCATGCTGCCAGTGGGTCCCTTCAGTAGGGGAATATGCTTCTCAGCTTTTTTTCAATGCCACAGATGTGTGTCTATTTTTACACATTTTCAGAAACTAGACTAGCAGCCTTTTTGAGGTAATAGTGAAATATTGTTCTTATAAAATCTACTGCTTGAGGCCATAGTGGTAATATGCTGCGGGGTTTTTTAATTACTGTTGGAGAAAGCACTGTGGTAAAGTTTCATTTGGTATTAATATATCTGTTCCTTGAGTGCAATATATAGGCAGAGTCCTAGATACTGGGAAAATCCATGCACATTGATAGATGCCTTTGATGTGATTAAGACATTCCCAGTAAACGATTCACCAGATGGCACATCAAAGGAAGTTACTCAAATTGCATTTTAGAGTTTCAGCTAATCTCTAAAGTGTGTGGGCTGCCATCCAGGCTGCAACATTTTACATGAGTTAGTTGTCCTGGATTATCTTGTCTAAATGTGGTGATTTTCCCTTCTTTTGTCATCAAGTGGTACCAAAAATCAGAAGAGAGGTCAGGGAGAAATAGTTTTGAACTGTTCTTGTCTCCAGATTTGGGTGTCCTGACTGTTTTTGTGAAGGACACCAACATTGGCAGGATCAGATGTATGGGTGTGACACTCTTTTGGTCCCCACTTTCTTTGCTGTTGTCCTTTGTTGTCCATTATCTCTCTCTGTTGTGCCCGTTGCCTTTCCACCTTCTCCACATCAGGGAAAGGTACTCAGTGTTGATGCTCAAAGTTGCAGATGAATGCTATACCAGTGAGTTGAACTTAGCCTGGAGGGATGCTGCCTGCTGCTCCACCTGCATTTACAAGAGCTGACACCCACCCGCCCCCTCCAGCTGACTAGCAACCATCTAGCCCCAGCAAATCTTTCAAGATTTCTCAGGATTTATTTGCACTCTAAATATTTGCTTTGTGGGATTGAGATCCTACTTCTCATCTCTTTAGTTATCTACTGGTGCTCCTATCTGGATGTGCAGTCCCATCCTTCTCTCAGCATTCAGAGAACAGTCTCCCTTTGATATATCAATACATATGCTTTTTACAGTGGAGGACGTACAACAACCATTACATGTCTGAGCCTCATCCCCTGTGATTTAAATTGGAAGTGGGTAGAATCTTACACTATAGCTTAACACAAAGCCCAAATTTACACAGCCATAATGTCTGACTCATCCCTGAAATTTTGCCAAGCGCTGGGGAGGCATTATCCAGAGTATTTGTATGCACGTCTCTTTCAAGATCTCTTTAAAAACTTTGCAGTAAGATTTCCAGAAGGATGAAAGTTATTTAAATAAAACCAGCATGTACCAACCTACCTGGTGCTGAAAGAAAGGTGGAATACTCAGTATATTCAGCTTTTTTTTCAGGTAGTGATTGGTATCTGTTGTCCCTTAGTTTCTGATTTTTGGTGGAAACTGATTACCTATCCTCTTCCTAATTTGAGAGTTTCTACAAGTTTAAAAACACATTTCAAAAGTGAAATAAATTTTGTTTTGCTGATAATTCTGCTTTCCAGAAGGGGGCTAGAAATTATAAGATCAGTTTGCTTTTCAAGAGTTACCAAAGTTGTTTATCTTTTGATTTTTTTTTTTTCTCATCCTAGACAAGGAAAATAGGTGAATCAGTTTTGGTTTTGCTTGCAGCTGCCTTCCTTCCCCTTCAGGCTCACAGTCCTGACAAGTTTGTGGGAGCCTTTTTCTTGTGGCATAGAATTGGATTCCCCAGGATCAGTTTAGCTGCATTCAGCAGCCTCTGATTTGCATTGCTTGTGTACTGGTTTGCTTTGGAAAGGAGTGTCAGAAATTTCTGTGAGAAATTTTTGTGTCTCCCCTTCATGCCAGTACTCCTCAGCCAGGTCTTCACTGTTTGATCTACCCAGTTTAGAAGAGATGTGAATCTGCACAGAATTTCTGTTGGGGACAGAATTTCTGTTGGAGAAGTTTTACTGAACTATACATGGGTATACAAAGATAGATGCACACAACTGCATGCAGATGGGATTGTGCTTTTGGCTCTGGCAAGCAGCACAGTTCCACCATCCTGCTGCAAAACCTGTGCCTGAAATAGGTATGTCTATTCAGCTCAGTTAATTTGTATGCTGGGAAATGACATGACAGATGCAGGTCATGATTTGAGCTGATGAAGCTTATCTGTATTTAATATTTACCATTTCCTCTCTCTCTGTATATTGAGAAGAAGTAACAAGTGAGTAAAAAAAATCTAAGGAAAGACCTTAGAATCTTGTAAGGATTGCTTTAGTGACTTCTGTAGTAGTGGAGCCTTACACTGCAACTCATGCATGCAGATATATTCAGGGTACATCAAACACACAACCAAGTTTATTTTACTGTCACGGGCACTCATACCCACTTAGTAGGAAAGAGCCTTTCCATGGTGCATTTCCAGGATACTGATGGCTAAACACTCCATTTGCAGAGAGAGTGAACAGGAAGAGAGCGTCAATGTCCGCATTGGGTTTGTGTAGCTGTTCGGTGCTGATTAGTTTTTGCCTTCTGCTCTTTAGGGGGGCTCAGATCTGGTCACTGAAAGTCTAGAAGATCTACCATCTTTTGAAATAATAAAAAAAAGTAGAGGCTGTGTTTTCAAATGAGTTTTGTTGTCACGGCAACAGGAGAGGCAGCGTGCTGTGAGAGTGCTGCAGCTTATCCTGCCCCATTTCAGGCTGCTTGCAGCCTTTCTGCTGACTCTCCAATGTCATTAGTGTTCCCCTAGGTAACCTCTGGCTGGAGCTGACTTCAGTTGTTTAGCTTTTCTCTTCTCTATCCACACCATTGCATGCTTTTCAGGATAAAAAAAAGAGAACAAAGCATTCTCTTTTGTGTTGTTTTGTACCATTTAGCTCACTCCTGGCGAGAGCTGTCAGGTGTGACTGGGCT